CAGGACAAATGCTAAGAGTTGAGCATTAGCTCATAAAAAAAGCTAACCTGTTCAGGCAAACAACTCCTTAAGTGGACACTAGCAGTAAAGTAAAGCATGAAGGGAGCAAGACATGGGAATCTTCCCATTTTCCTGGGGATGCCGTGTCTGTTTGTAGGTGTGAAAAAAGATTTACAAACACGGGGTGCTGCCATCAAATCTGTTATCCCAGAATTAAAGTTTCTCCAATAAAGCTGTAATAATGCATTTTGCTATGTAACTAACACACTTTGCTATGCAACTAGATGAGAGAGAGTTTTTAAAGCTTCAAGGACTTGCACTTGAAACAATTCTCTGTRGAGTCATGACACTGCCAGATCTAAAATGGCATTTCCTTTTTTCCCCTTTTGATGAACAAAAGTGGTATCTTTTTTACCACTTTGGCACTTCAAGGGACTACAGGCAAGATATTAAAGGGCGCTTTCACAATTAAAACACTGGGCCACACGCTGATGAGATGTTCTGATATAGCCTTCCTACAGTAATTTTCAGCAAATCCTTTCCTAGGGCTCTGCCTTTGTTTTACAAAGGTCTGTCCCAGACAACCTCTGTTACTTGGTGCTTGGACCACAAACTCCTATCCTAGGAACTGGTTCCTATGGAGCTGGTTCCTATGGCTTTTGTCCATAACAGGGTTAACTTGTATTTACAGCATTGCTTAGGAGCTCCAGGAAAGCTCAGTAAGTAAATAATAATGAATGCATAGCTTTCCTTGCCCTCCATATCAACTATAAGAATAAAATCCTACTATTAATTCACTTTTAGCCTTTCTCAAATAAACTGGGTTGTGCTAAAGTTACTTTTGTACCTAACACATCACTTCTTCCCCCAACTGGCTCTTTAGCCTTATGTCAGCATTCTTCCACACACAAATAATTTCTGCAGGTTTAACTATTCATTAAAAAAATGCACTAGCAGATAAGTTTGACTTTGAACTCAATTTCCCCACCTTAAAAAGAATTAATTAAAAATTCCCCCAATGCATTTTAAACTGTCCTCAATGCCTTGAATGGCTTTGTGTTTACTTAGCATGTGCTTAAGTGATACGAAAGCTTTAAAGTTCTTCATTTAATTAAGTTTTTAAATAATTTGTATATGATGTGTATGATCACAATAGTTAACAGCGTGATTATAAACAATGATATTTATACGGTTAAATCAGAACTATTGAAACAGCACCTTCCAGTGTTCTCAGTATTTACCATTATAGGAGACAAACACATTATAGCTTTACCAACTTCTTTCTTGCCTGAAGCAAGGAAGACTTCAGGACAAAGATTTGCAGGAACTATATTCAGTTGTAGTTTTTAATAGTGGTACTATTTACTTGTCTTTTTCCCTTAAGCAACTATGATAGCACACAGCAGGAACAAAAGAATAAGTTTCAGTGATGTCTTGGAAATTGAAAGCTAATTCAGTTTCCAGTTGTGTGCACCAAAACAGAGGACTCGGAGCAGCTGCTGCAGGGATCACCCTAAACCATGAGGACTGTGAGGAACCCCTCAGCTCCATGTCCCTTACTACAGTTCATTTATTGGCCCTTGGGGTTGCAGGGAGTGGGTGGCAAACATCATAGGATATGATGCATAGCTATGCTACCACGACGGAGCCTTCATGGAGCAAGACTTCATAAAAAGAATAAGGAAGAAACAGATTTCAACTGTAAAGGAGTTGGTTTTGCTATGCTGACATAATATCCTTGTGCTTTTACATTTTAGCCATAGTGTACTTCAGACACACCAAGTGATCTCAACAAAAGTGATCTTAAATAGCATGATAAGGGACTTGGGCATCACTAGCACGTGGAGGGGCTGGGACACAAATAGCACTGAACAGAATGAAATAGATGAGCAGAAGCCCCAGAGGAAACTGAAATAGTGTGCCAGGCGAGCACTGAGCAGAGCACAATGGTCACAGTCTGCAGCACATTTTTAGTTATTTTTAGCTCAGTAGCACATAGCTTTTAAATGCCACACTTTTAAATCCATTCCTTTTGAATTTTTTGAAATGTTAGAAAATATTTTTTTAAATTAAAAACTATTTTATTTACAAGGTAGGTTTTGAAGCATTGCTTCCGGGTACTCCAAAAGGAAAAAGAAAAAAAGGAAAAACAAGACATTTATTCGTGAATAAACTGAAGAACTCCCTTAGAAGGAAATCAGTTCCTAGACAATCCCAACAAGAGTCCCGCTGGGTCAGGTATGCACTGCTGAGCAGTCAGCACTTTCTCCTTTTAACAATTTAAGCTCTAATGGAAATACAATGCTTGACCTCATCCTTGACTCTGYAGCCACCTCTCATTGTGGACATATATTGACATTAGCAACCATGCAACAGAGAAATCAAGATCCTGAGGGGAAGGACGAGAGTAGCAGAGCCCAGAGACCGGATCTGGGCTCGTCGAGGAGCAAGCAGATGCTCCAGGGGGGACAGCTTTGAAGAGCAGAGTGGCTCTGGAAAGCTGGTTGCCTTCAGGAGAATGTCTCAGGCATGGAAACTGTCCATCCCGATACTCAGCAGGTTCGGGAGGTCCTGCTTCCCTCTGAGGTGCTTGGGGTAGCAGGGAAGTCATGGCACAGCTCCAGTGCAGAAAGGCCCCACACAGGAGGAGTGCAGAAGGGCAGGCTACRAAGGAGGAAAGCTCAAATGCTGCCTGGGCATGTCGATGTGGTACCAGAAAAGCCAAGCTCAGATGGAGCTGAGATTTGCGGAAGGATGTCAAGGGTGGCAAGACCTTCCATGGCTACATCTGCTAGGAAAGGCTGAACAAGGAAAACACGAGCCCATGGCAGGACAGGGCAGGTGATTTAGAAGCAGTGGTCACAGGTGAGGCTGGGATCCTTGCTGCCTGCTCTGCTTGCACCAGCAAGGTCTGCCCAGCCTCTGCGCTCAGCCTTCCTGGCACCTGGGATTAAAGTTCAGCTCTTGTTCTCAGATAAGCATTTGGCTGACAGAACTAGTTTCTGTCTACAACAAGCAAAACGAAAAGTTGTAGATATTTTATATTTTTTCTTTACTAATGTACACACTACTGAAAGAGAGGAGCTGCATTTATTTCAAGAAATTAGGYTAAGCTTTCAGGAAGGTATGTCCATGTGGGAACAGACACAGAAAAACAGCCAGTTGTTTCCTAGAATCTCTGTTTACATCAAAACAAAAGGAAGGAGTGAGGGACAGAGAGAGGAAGAGAGAGAGAGAGAAAGGAAAAGCAAGTATTCCTTACTGATCATGACTGGAGTAATTACAAATGAAAATATAACCCAAATTTAAGTGATGCAGCTCAGAATGACTTTGTCCAGAAATATTGGCAGGATTAACAATTTCTTCTCTTTCATTAATATTTAGCTCCAACACCTGCAGTAACTTTTTCATTCAAAGCATATGGAAAAGGGCAGATAGACCTTATCACTTTAAAACTGAAGTCAAGTTAGTTATCACTCATGTCAGTTAGCAATTCCCCTTTCACACAGTCAGAAGAAAGCAGTGACAAAACTCGCTTTTTTCCCATGTAAGGTCAGGACACTAGTTTTGTCAGTATTTTTAAAATTTATGATTTTTTTGTGACACAGACCAATCTGATTTTTTTCACGTGAAGGAAAAGTCTGCTACCTTTGCTCTACAATTGAGAATAGGCTTATTCAAATAGAAGATAAATTGTAGAGGATAAGCAGTACTTTTACTTTTTACATATGATTAATGAAATTTTAACTTGAAATTTAAAGATGATTTTCTTTTCCTTTAATAACAATATAATTTATCTGCACCTCTGAAAACCCCAGACTAACTTCTGTGTTGTTAATTTTAGATTAAAAACACTGAAGAAGCACTCAGACAACATATGCCATGAGTCTATGCAAGCTCTCAAGCAAAGAACCTATAGGAATACCTTCATCATCACCGAAATCATGCACCACCTAAATGACTGATTCTCCTCTTGTTTCCTTTCCAGACAGGCTCCCTCTTTTTGAGTGTTTACCATTTTCCACATAATGGGTGCTCCCAATGGGGGCAAGTGGCCCTTGGCAAGCAGGGGGAGATACAGAAGGACTCCCAGATTCCCAGATGTGCACCACGGCGGGGGGAGCTCGGGAAAGGCTCCCAGGAGAACAATGCTGGGAACAATGCCCCACGCTGGAGAGACCTCCCCTCCGGATGCACAGCTGAGCATTATGTCACTGGGCTTCTCAAACCGAGCACGAGGCACCGGGGGCCTCCTCTGTGCGAATGAAACAAGAAGCATGATTCATGGGCAGTAACAGGGCTTTCCATCGCGCGCCGCAGGCGGCCCTGAGCAGCGCGCCCCCATGTCCAGGGTGCCCCCTTCTAGGGAGGACCTTACCCTACTGCCCTGCTTGAGCTGTTTTGCTCTCAGAGCCTTAGGATTTCCTCAGGCAAATACGTGTTTTATCTCTGCATCTCTTGCGAATCTCTCAAAGATCTGCATAATTCTCTTTTCTTCCTTTACATATAGTCTTCTATCCTTTTACAGGGGAAAAAAAAAAAAAGAAAGAAAAAAAGAAGCTTTGCTCCAGAACCAAACTTGTGCCCGCTGCCACAGGACACCCAACCAGACAGCTTGCCAACTCCTGCTAAGTTACCAAGAGTGGGACTTACCAAAGCAATACTGAGCCTGCAGACACTTTGTCATGTCTGCTATGCCTCACAAGAATTTGATGAAGGTCTCCAAAATTAAGGGAAAACTAGAATAAACGCCCTTCTACCAAACTACTTCCCTAAACAAAAAYGGATTTTATTTCCACAAAGGGATCTGGGATCTCAACAGCTTAACTAAACTATAATCCTTCATCAGTACTTTGATGTCTGTAGTCTTTCTTAATTAAAATGCATGAAAAGATTCAGGTTAAACAATATACAGAGTCATACCCTGCCCCTGATTTTCTAAAGTAAATGCAGAAAGGGTGTGAATACCAAACTCTAAGCAGTCATTAAGTTTTACTCACTCGACAGTCCCGCTGCAGTGTTTTCATTAGTGCACTGTGAGTTTCAGAGTCAAAATACAATGCTTCATGCATGTCCTGCAAGAAATCCAAGTCTTTGAACGTAGGGTTGGACTTCTCCCTCTCTTTTCTTGATGCCCTCCGTTTGTACGTGGAGCCTTTCAAGTCATAGGTGAAATGCATTCTCAAGGCTCGTGGCAGAACATTGTTCATTACAACAATTCTGATATTAATGCCTCCTGATTGAACGCAGTACAGCCCATAAAATTTGGGTAGGAGAGTCCTTGGATTCTGGTTCAGATTCTAGAATAAAACACATATTATTAAATATGCCTATTTTAAATAAATTTCTGTGCTTAAGAAAGGGATTTGTACGCCAAAGTGTTTTAACAGCAAGAATACAGCTCATATTTTCCTATTCTACATGGTTTCTTTGATCAAATGCTTATTTGGGGTACTTCAGAAAGCTCCTTAACCACAGGGAAGAGACCATATCAAAGAGAAGTGAGAGGTGCCATGGTGCAATCCAAGTGCGAATCACAAAACTCGGGCCATTTTTCCAGCTTGAAGAGTAAATAGAGGTTCGCCAGCAAAAGCAATAGTTGGCTTCCACCATTTGCTTTTAGGAATGGAACTTCACTCCTGTACTTCAAAACACACTTTAAGCTCCTGTCATGATCATACTCCTCGGCATCCACTGTTCTGACAAATATTATTGTACATCCAACTCTTGTATACCGAAGTCTTGCATTTTTTTACCATGGACTTATATGTGACAATAAAAGAGCAGTAACTGCACTTTTGCCAGATTTCTCTTGCCTGTGACCCATAAGAGAGCAGATTGGGACCAGACTAGAAACACTGTTAAGAATTAGTTTTCWTATTTTGATTTGAATGCACTTCTCATTTCACCTATTGAAACTTCTCATTTCACCTACTGGAAGCAGCTTAGTTTAAAACGTTAATTCTCATTACCCTGGCTTGGATTCTGAAAAAAAGGCCCCTTGCCTCCACAAGGCTTTCCACTACAAGAGTCTGTGCCAAATGACCAGGTTGTCTCAATGTGAGTCTGAGATCATGACAGAACCTCATTGACCGTCAGAAGAGAACGGTGTAAAATAACCCAAATCCCACAACAGAGGAAAATGAGAAAAAAAAAAAAACACAGAAGATAGAGGAAAAGACAGAGAGATGAGAACAAAAAAAAAATCCTTGCTATGTCTTTCTGAACACAGAAATTCTGGTTTTGGCACAGAAAAGCAAGAAAGGGAAAACTTAATTTAAGTCTTACATAATTACTAAGTCACAACATACAGCTATAGGAGGAAAGTATTTCCATAAGATACAATCACAGTGATGATACTTTACATTTTTTCAACCTTTGCATATAGCCACAATGAGAATAACATTCAAAGCAAACCCACATAATGCTTACTTGGAATAATGGTCAGCTCAAACCTGCTAATCATAACAAGGAATCAAAAGAAACAGCACCTGCCCTTTTTTTCAATTATTCTTTTTGATGCTGCCAGTTCACAAAATCCCTTTAAATAAGCACCGAATCAAAGTTACATTAATATAATGAGTGAAATACTCCTCATTTTTAATGTAAGTAACTTTTCCAGTGTTTACTTAAGAGAGCACACCAAGAAATCAGGCCAATAGTAACAGGTCTAATATTCCAAAGTCGACTTAGACAAGTCTCTGTTCAAGTGATTACATCATTTGCTTTTGTTAAAGAAGAGAGTTTAGTTTATTTACTTTGGATCAATGGTCTTTTTCCCATCCTTTCTGATGACTGATGCACATTAAAGCAAGACAGTCTTTCTCCCCAAAAGCTCTACTTAAAAAATAGCTTCTGAATAAATTAAAAAGGATAGAAGTATTTTAATACATCTTTAATACATAAGAAATGGAGATTAGAAGTAGTCAGAAACAAAAGTGAAACTGACCGGTCTAGTTTCTTTGTCCACTCAGAGTGAAATGCAAAAGCATAGACAAACATAAAATGGAGAAAAAAAGGTGAATTAGAAATTTTAATAATTTTAATTACTAGTCTATTAGAAATAAAATTTGGTATCAAGTCAGAAGATGATATTCAGTTTCATCTGGAGTGCTAAAAAGTAATGGTTATTTTAAAATTTATGCTGGAGTTTTATTCTTTTTGATGGGTGCAGGATGCAAAGTAGCACAAACAGAAATCACTGTCAAAAGTATTACGAAAAATATGGATTAAGTCACTGAAAGATCATAGGACAACAAAGGAAGTCAAGTGTTCAAAAGCGAGATGTGAAATAGAAAAAAATACAGGTTATGATTTATGAAGTTACTTACCATATAATACCCCGGTAGGAGCTTCTGAAGAAACTCAGCCTCTTTGTGCTGAACTGTTTTGATGATGAACTCGTCATCACTAGTCACAAAAAAGAGGGACCCACTGGCGCCTGGATTGGACAACTCAATTAAAGGTTCACTGCAGATTGAATACTGGGAGAGAGAGAGAGAGAGAAAGGGGAATTTGTGGGAAACACAAATAGATGTTGTTCGACACAGAAGTTTAATGGAAAGAGCTGTGGGTGGAGGTGGGGAATTCGGAACCTGCTTCACCAGGGCTTTGACTGCAGCAGTTCCTACAGAGCAAAGCCGATTTGGCTTGAAACCTTTAAAACAACCACTTTGGTATAAKTCTGATATAGTTCTCTAATTAATTGTTGGCTTAAACCAGAAAAAAAACAAGTGAACAGAAAAAAACAGTTTTGGAGAACCACTGTTTTGCATAGTTAGACAAGCTCTCTTCCACAGACAGATAATAATATCAACCATCATGTTTAGGAGGAAAAAGACAACACTTAGTGCTCTTTACTGATAGAGCCAGGTCTCACACACTTACATACATTTGTTAAGCCTTCATTAATTTACACTTTGTTCTCCACTTGAACTAAATGGAAAAGAAATGCATTAAACCCAACAACATGGAAAARTCTGTTTCTATTAAATGCAAGAGCTTGATTAAAACATACTAACAGAAATCTATTGTTCATAACTTGTTTTCCTCTGTTTAATATCAACATCTTTCCACAACTGCAAATTTAGTGTACAGTCAAGTACACTAAAAGTTCAGTCTTTCAAAGAACAAAACTGCAATAGATCTGACCAACGAACAACATAAGCACCATGGAATTATTCTTAGCAGAACAGTATGTCTTCTGCTCTTCTTGCAACAGGAATAACGGTTTCAGAAACAAAATATCTGGATTATTGGGTCAGTGCCTGGGCTGAATTGAGCAATTCCACAAGAAAAAATCCTTTTATTTCTTGAAAGGGGCTTTTATTAATTTTAGCTGGGGTCTTGCCAGTGATTCTAGAGGGTGGTGATAGCAGAGAAAATTGATATAAGAAAACAGATCGAATACGCACTTTTGTGAGCACTTGAACTAATGAAGCATGTTTCTTAYGGACTCAAATCAGTGCCTTAATGTGTATTATTATACTGGTTCCAGCTGAGGCTTTTCCTACATTTGGAACTTTTAAAAGGCTTTAATATGATATAAAAGTTTTGTCTGTTTTTTTTCCTCATTTCTCCAGTTAGATCAGTTCTACTTGGTAAGAGACAGTTTTTCCATTTAAGCTTACAGCTTCAATTGATTAAAGGTAGATCATCATTAGTGGTCTGTAAAACAACAGGCCTTAACTGCAAATCAACATCTGTATTACAACCCCAGGGGTTTTTCTTGCCAAAATATGTAAAGCTTCATCAATAGTTTTCATTGYTGTAGGCATTTGAAACCAATTAGCTAGAGCATTCGAGCTCAATAAAATAGCATGAACAAGAGTTACTAATCTATACTGTGTTTCTGCCATTTTACAACTGAGTTCATTTCCGTAAAATAAAGTCTTTCAAAAAGGGCTGCAAAAAAAGAGCCCATCTAATTTTGGCTGGAGATTAAAAAAAAAAAAAATCCAAGCCCAAAGCAATTAAATATTTCTTGATTATAAAATGTTCCTGTGCAAAATGCCTGCCCTGTAAGATTTTTAGTGACTGTTTGATGCTATGAAGTGTTTGAGTGCGTTTACTTTCGTCACTGTGACCAGCCCTGCAACGCAGTAATGCTCAGCCTTCCCAGAAAAGGTGAGGCTGTCCCTGGGCTTAGTCAGTGCAAACAGCATAAACACCACACGCACTTGCTACAACTGTTCCTCCCTTTCCCTGTGTTCCCCTTGTCCTCAGTCTGGCTAATCAGTTGTCATATTTGTTACACGGGTGAGACTGTTATGGATACTGACTTATAGCTGAAATCACTTCATGACAGCCTGTGGTAGACCCAGATTCTACATAAATGAGAGGCACTAATTGGCCAGAATCCTCTCACACGATATTGGGAGCATACCTGTAATTAGTTATTTTGGTAATAACCAATAGGAAAAGAAGCTTCCAAACTAAAACTAGTTTTATTCTTGATCATCAGATCCCTCTGGTTACATACAGTWACCGGCTAAACGTAGCCAGTTGTGACCTGCCCTGCTTATAACATGTTGCCTATTTAGAGTCAGAAACAATAGAAATGGGTTCTAATTTCTTTGCAGAATAGGCATAACCCTAACAAAAGGCTGTATCAATTACAACAGTAACAAAGAGAAAAAAGAAATAAGCAAGAAAAAAAACCACACTGAAATTTCGGCTAGTATCTATTCAAGGAAATCCACTTTTGTGTATGCAAGTAGTTGAGCTCAGTTTTAAAACTGCTCAGCCCTCAGCTCTACAAGTGCAGCAGGCCTCCCTTTAACCTGGGGAAGAGGAAGCTGCCACAACTGGGGAAGATGCCTCCCAGACACGTCGCTTCAGACGCGTATCCCACCATGATTTAGAGAAAGCTCCACCCTGCTGTCTCACCAATAATGAAAAACATTCTCCTAAATTTCTCAATAGCTGCCCAAAGTACATGCGAAGTTGGAAGCAAAAAATATGCCCATCTATGGTGCTCATGTGCAGTTAGTGAACCTCACCTTCCTCCACCCTATAGATCTGCTACACTTTAGCCTATAGACCTGCTCCACTTTGGCTCTTTGGAGACAGCAGCTCCCTTTCCTTGTAATGGCATTGCTRTGTTACTGTGTTTAGCTGGGCAGAGGGGAAAAAGTCTGCAATGAGTTACCTTTACTGGGAGTTTCCTCAAGGATTAGTCATCTTGTACTGAATGACACAAATCCCTATCAATAGCAAACAAACTCTGTGTATAATCTTTTCTTTGCACTGCTGCAAATGCGTCTTAAAGTGGAACAGAAGCAGCATATCTCAAGTGCTTTTCTTCAGTAAGTCTAATTTTTTCAGCAGCTGACTACGTATCCCAAAATCTCTCTCTGTATCTACCCAGGTCCATAAAAGGAAACACAAAACCCAACATAAAGGCACCTTCACAAAACACCACCCCAAGAGCATTTTATTGCAAATAACACTGAATCATATTTTTTGAAATAGAAGTTTTGCTCTGAGTAACACTTCGTGGCTCAGAACAATTAAGTTAGAATACACATGTTCAGTAAAGGCAAAATCAGCTAAGTTTTCCTTGTTTTGCTTTTAGGCTCATTGCTCAAGAAGATTTTTTTTTTTTTTTTAAAAGAGCTTTTAATGTATCCCAAAACAACTGAAGTCAGTTAAGAATTATTTTTTTACTTTGTACTCATTCAAATTCTTCTATTTTTAAAGAAGCTTAATTATCATCAAAAATAGAAATATCTAAAAACACACTTAAAACATTATCAATAAGCTCATGAAGCACAAAATAGCTAAACTGTACTGGACTAAATCAGTATGGCTATTTATTTAGCACTAAGTTGCTAAATTGGACTGGGATTTTTGGGGGTGGACTTGATGAGATGAACTAGTAATCTAGAAAACAACTCAGCTGTCAGCTTCCACACTTCCTTCTAGATGCAGAAAAATGGGAGAAGTAAAATAGTGGATACTTTTCTCTGGTAGTACCCAATGTGGTTCTACCAAGTAAAGCCAACTCTTCTCCAACGTGCAAATTTTCCTTTCCTGTAAGAATGTAAGTATGTGGAGAAGAATCATGGTTTGGGTTAGGAGATCAAATAAAATACTTTGTAAATGCTTCTTTCCTAGGCCTGCCAACTCTTACCAAGACTGCAGGGCTAATGTTTGAATCGAGGGAATAAATAAAAAAAGAGAAAAAAAGGATAAAAAAAAAAAAAAGGACTCTGTTAGAACTGAAGCAGTGAAATTCACTGTTACTTAAAACTAGCAGAAAGAATGGCCTGAATAAGCAGTAACGTTCATGTTCATTTCACAGCTTAACAATTACAAAGTTTCATCAAATGCTGAAGATATTCATTAGCTATAAACCACTCTGCAGAAAGTCTGCTACCTCCTGGAACATCATTAAAGCATCTTTCCTTGCTGCTATGAAACTAGCATTTACATTCCAATTATTGGTAACTCAAAGGAAAAACGCAAGCGCTTACCAAGTAATCATCAGGCTTGATACCAAAAAGTTCTCTGAAATAGCGGAAGGCAAGAGGTGCATACGTCTTAAATCTGAAGTCAGGGTAATGATGAGCAGGGGTAAGATTGCTTCCTTCACTGAAAACACAAACAAGGCAGACCCAGTTATTACTGAGCAATTTGAAGCCACTTCCTTCTCCTAGCTAGTTTACTTTAAAGATGGTATGCTTTAAAGTGTTACGCTCTAAACTCAACTCCCGCCTCCTGAGAAAAGAGTCAGAAATTCAGACCTTGGCATTGCCTTTAATCAGTGCATGAGAAATGACTGCAAGGGGCAGAACACCTCCAGCAAATTCCCTTCTCCCTCCTTCAAGGACAGGACAAAATAAATGATTATTTTCACCACTCATATATCCACTTGGATAAAGGTTATGTTCCAACTAATGTTACAGCTTTTGACACTCTTTAAACATAAGCCCGTCTAATAACCTGCTGACACAGCAAAGGTCACCTTCCTGCTTCACGTGAGCTCCTGCAAGGATTGGGAAGTTAATCCAGCAAAACACGGCTTTACGCTGTTTTGGTGACTCGAGTGGGTTTGCAGGGCAGTCAGCCAGATAACAGAGCTAGTTCTGCCCCTTCTGCTGTGCCTCGTGGCCAGAGCCAGGGCAGGGGGGCAGGACCTCTCTCCTRGTGCCAGCAAGCCTCGACTGACTGCGCCTTTCCTAGGAAAATGCATCCCCTGCACTATCCTCCCTTGCAGGCTAAGCAAGGTATCTAGCCAGGTATCTGCACCAGCAAGGTATCCTCCTTGCCAGTACAGCCCAGGACTGGGAGGCACTGGGGGGCTTTGCAGACCCTAGACGTGGTTTTCTGACTCTCTGCCTGCCACCTTGCAGGTTTTACTCCTCCACAACGTTATCTTGTGTGCTCGGTGGGTTAAACAGAAACACAGGTTATTGACTCTCTGGGAATTCAGGAAAGTGATATGCAGGTATGCTCAAGAAACAGACGAAACAGCTGGACACCCTAGAAGACAGCCCATCTTTTAAGGGGGGCTCCTACAAGAATGTGGTCTCTTTAGCTCTTCTCCTTGTTTTATAAACTCTTTTGCTTGTGTTACTAGACTGCAGTTGTAAAGCACGAGTCGAAATGGTTGCTGAAGTAAAACCCTGGCAGGAAAATGCTGGCAGAAAAACAAATACATAAAAACTGCCTGTGGATATATTTATGCTGGAAATTAGAAGAAGGCTTTTGAGCACAGGAATAAAGTTCTAGCCTTAGATTTCAATACAAGTAAGAACAGCAGAAAGACAAAGTTTGCCCAGTCTGCTAACGCAGTGATATGAAGTTGAGTATAAAAAACACAGAAGAMCAGACACTGTGGCCAAACACAGCTCTTCAATACTACCTTACCCTGTTTAAGTTCTTCAGTCACACAATATGTACCTTTATACTTTGCAATAAGAATATCCAAAGAATGCCAAAAATCTAGGAAATCATATAAATACAAAAGCAGCATTCCAGAAAGACCAAACTAAGTCTGTGACTATATTTAAGAGCGTAATTCCTGAGCAATTAATGCTTGTCATATCAACTTATGACCTTCTGCTAGTACAAATTTGCTGGAAAAATTTCATCTCACCCACCAAGCTGCCACAGCGTTCACACCACTGCGGCCAAACAGAGCTGAATTGCTGCTCATCAGACAGTGGGAGCTGCAGAGAAAGATTTCTGAGCTACCATACACTTGATGCTCATGAACAGTAAATCAGAACCTAGTATCTGGCTGGAAATCATAAACCCAAGGATAATTTGGGCTGGCCAAAGACATATGCAGACACACTAGACTACTGTTTTTTTCCTGCATGCTATATATATATGGTCATCAGCTAATGGAACCTGCATAGTTCTAACGAACTCTTCTGCATRGTTTACAGAGCAAAGTATCACAACTCTGAGGGCATTAAAATCAGATCCACATGTATTTTGTGGCTCATTCTATTAAAAAAAAAAAAAAAGAAAAAGAAAAAAGATCAGTAGTTCCTTATGGTTAAGAYGATCTAATGCTTTTTCTTACACTGTCTTTTCAGTTGTTCAGAACATTGTCCATCTCATTTGATGTTAAATTTTGCATAGTTAAATGTGCAAGATACTGATTTTYGGGGCAGTATAAGGGCTGCATATCAGTTCCAGGTTGCATTCTTCAAACAGCTCAACAGCTAGGATAATGCATGTATATCCCTACTGTGAACTTGATCCCATAAATGTAAACACGTTTAATTGCAGTAAAATGCAGACAAGAAGAGAACRGAGCATTCTCTGCTGAAGCATCACATCATTGTAAGGGAAGACTCATCACCTAAACTGTATTAAAAAAACAAAACCCACACAATCTTCCTTTCAGGTCCTACACACCTTTATAAATCTGCCTCTTCCAGTCATAACTCAACAGCCTCTTTAGTGAAAGTGTGATGGTGAATACATCACACATCCCGAGCAGAGCAGAGCATGTACCATTGTGGAAACTTCTCTCGGCTTGAGACAAAGATTGGAGCCTTTCTGTGCTAACAACAACGGCCCAAGCTATTTCTGAAATGTGTGAAAATGAAAAATCGACCAACAGAGAAATAAATTGTTGTGAATAGCTCTGCAGGTGGCCTTTAATCCTTAATGAAGGAAAACTTATCAGAGGATAATTGAAAAAGAGAGAAATTATTTTGGGCTGATGTCCAGAGGGAAAACAATTTCTTGTACTTAGAGCAAATGAGCTTGCTTTGCTAGAGCTCTGGTAGCCAATTTCACTATGCATGCAAGTTCCCTTAATCTTTGTAATATGGTTTTTAAGAGTCTTCTTTTACCAAGGGTCTGCAAAGCTTATCATCACACCCTGCTGTTTCTATTAATTATATAGATTACTTTCAGCTTACAGGATCAAAATAGTAAGCTCTTCGCTGATGCCAGAGSCAAGCTTGACACAAATTTAAGATTCCTTGGTTACTTCCCTGGAAAAAGTCACCGAGTGTTTTGCTGATATTTTTAACAGGAAAAACACATGTCAATAAGTCATTTTCTACAGCAAAGGAACCCCTTCAAATTCCCTGTGGCTGGACATGCCCTAGCTCTCACTGTACAGAAGAGCAGCTTCCTCTGAGCAGACCCTGGGTGTAAATAAACCTCAGTCTTGTTTGGGCAAGAAGTGTGTCCTGGAGCTTTCGCAAAACCACTTTCGGTAGCCGAGGATGCCACACACACTGTTCTGGCAAAAGCGTCATCAACATAGCAACAGTAACACTAATTAGGGGTTGCAAGTCTAAGATAAGAAAATTCATACATCTTCTCTTAAAAATAGCACATATAGTTCTCCATCCACATGCTTTCAAGAGGATGGATATTCTGCTTTCTCCTCACTCCTTCTTGGGACATTTTACAAAGACAGACAGTTCGCTCTGTTTGGATTGAAGTACATGTGCAAACCACTCTGGATAACTTCTAACCATGCCTAACAAGGGAGTTTCCTGAGAAAGACTACATCTTTGCATGCTATTGGGAAAAATACCTGCCATTTGTTGAAGAAAAGCTTAATCTTCTGCAAAACTGAGCTTTGGACAGATGAGAGAAGTGTAGTCTATAAAGAAAGGAGGCCACCTCATAAAATGTCCTCTCAGTTTACAGCATAAGTCTAAGCAGAAAAACAACTGACTTTTACTGTTAGCTTTGACTCCTGTGACCTTCAGTAAACCAAATCTCCTTATACGAGGTATGAAAAATAATTTAGGCTTTGGAAAGATTATGAAGGAAACAATAATAATCTTAGCTGTAGACTACACAAAAGCAACAGATTGTTAGGTAGTACAGAAAAGATTAATCTTATCATGTGAGTTTGTTTTTAAATACTTAAAATATTTTTTTAAGCCAAAAGCACCTAAACTCAGCATCTTCACACGGCCTTCCACTAAATGCCGAGGAATGGTTTGTAGTGCAAGTGGTGCAATACCAAGCTAAACATGAGCCCATGTAACTACATTTGCAAAGGCTAATCCCAGGCCTTGTGGAAGCACTGCTCAGACAGGCTCTTGGCAGCCTTGCTCTGGTGGCCTCACGCTGGGGAGATACCCGGCCTATCTGCAGAGGCAGGGCAGGCTGGCTGCACCCGCTGGGAGGGAGCCTTCCCCGCACAGACACSTTATCAGGAGCAGCTGAAACCTGCTGCTGACCAAGGAAACTGCCACATCGCTGTCTTGGGATCGTGTGTTGTTGACCCTCAGATGCAAGGTAAGAAGAGCGAAGAGGGAGAACAGAAGGAGGAGGAGTATCTTGGTTCCCTCATGTGGAACCTACTCTCTGTTTAATCTATGTGGAACCTACTCTCTTTTTAATCTTCTGAAAAGCAAAACACCCAAAAGCAAATGCTGTTGAAGAGTATTCAACCTGAGTTTCATTATTCTTGGAAAATGCTGCTCATCTACAATGCATTAAAACATGTTTAAACACCACAAATCATATGTGTTGAATACATAAGCAGACTAGTGCTGACGTAGTTCCGTAAGTAATATGTAGATGTAGTTCTGTAATATATAAAAGCAGCAGTTTCACGTACTGCTTTTGTATATTCATCTCCTACACATTATTTCAGTTAGGCAATTTTCTGCTTAACTACCTACATACTTACTATGAAGTAGATATCATGGCTATCTGTACAAATAGCTGTTATTTTCCCTTGTGGGATAAAATACAGAAGTAATATCTTTTATTTCTCACTGAATATTGTTCTGCACACTCTGCTGCTGTATGTTGTGCTAAGAAGTCCCATGTAAAGGCAGCGTTGAAATAAAGTTACATATAATAAATATCTTCAAAACAAATCTTGACAGTCATATTAATAATAACTGAATACACAGGCATTTTTATTTATGCTCTTGTTAATTGTTAATGATTTAAGAAGAAACTGGGTATGCCATTAACGCAGGGATCTCCGAACATTTTAAGAATAGGTAAGTATGTCTATATATACAAGTATCCAGGTAACCCTGATTTACCAAGAATTTGATACTTGTCAGAGTGGCAAAGATCAGTAGTCCATAACAAGTCTTTGCTTTTGTTGCCACAACTATTTCCTTTCAAATACTGTTTGTTTAGCAAATAGAAACAACTTTGTTCCATTGGAGCTGTCACTTTACTCACTAGCCTCAAGAAGCGTGTCATGAACTTGGGTCATCCTACACTAAAAAAATAAAAATAAAGAACAGTGCTTGATCCAAGATTTCACCTTCTTAGCTGTCTTGCAAAATTGCAACTGGAAACAAACGCAGTGACACAAAGCACAGCATAAGTAAATTTTAGTGTGAACAGCTGAGTTTCATTCATACACAGCATTCAGAATACTGCATATATTTTTAATACAGCAACTAGTACTAGTCCATAGTAACCCACTGCACAGGTTTGGTGCAAAGACAAGGGCAAGGGTCAGTTTTTCCTGTTTTTCTAGATCATTCCTCAAAAACATACTGCATAACAATACACTCTTGTCTTAAATGTAGGCTAAGACCCAGATCGCTTAAAATACATCCAACCTTATAATTTTCTCAGTAGCTTTGCCTACTCATTTGGGCTTTTATCCAAATGCTATCTTAAGACAACATTAGGCTTTCGACATTAAACAGCAGAAAGCACTGAATGATCATTCATTAGCAAAAACCTCAAAAGAAAACAATTTGCACTTGACTTGTTCATTTTTTTTACAGACGACGGTAGCAGCAGGCTGCCTATAGGTGAACAGCTTCCAACAGGCTTACCAGCTTAATTAGAAACCCCAGAAAACTTTGTTAATACCCAGGGTCAAGGCCCCAGATGGAAGCCCATTAGCAGGGGAAGTGCACAGGACTGCTCAGAGCGTTCTGCGGGGARGCCAGGCTCGCTGCAGCGCGTGGCAGAAGCCTCTGATCCAGAAAGCACAAAGGGAGGAAGGTGGAAAACACACCGTCCTGCCCCAAACGGTCCCTAGCTCCAAACCCACACCAGATAAAGCACTAATGCACCCACAAACAAGCAACGTGGGGGCAAAACGGGCTCCCAAGAAGCGGAACCAGAAGACAGGGTATTTGTAGCAGTTTCCCACTGTTCAAATGGTTTGGTGCTGTGTGCCCCRTATCATCAAAATCAGCAGATTTTGGGTCAGGGTAGACTCTGCTTTTTTCTCTCCCTTCTAGGAGGGCACATTGGCATGCTGCCCCTGAGACACTACCTGGGCTCCAGCTCTACGAGGGCTCTTTCACAGGGACCCCTCGCAACAGCCAAGTTAGCTCCCAAAGGCAGGTTGTTATTAATGCCTCCTGGGCTGTCCCATGAGGCCAGAGAGAAGGGGGTGCTGCAGCACGAAGCAGAAAATAAAGGCACATTCCCAACCTATCCCTCGCCAGGGCGCACAAGTGAAAGCAAGCAGCTTTGCAATTCAAACCCACTGTGCAGGGATACAGGTGTTTTATTGAAAGTCGCTTTAAAGCAAGCAGCTAAACTAATCTCGGCTAAACGCTGATCTAATTCAATCCCATTACAAACTAACCCTGGCTATACTTAACGTGCAATCTGTAGAGGTATTCCTGAATAGCAACAGAAACCCACCAAAATAAGCTGGCCAATTATGTTCAGCTTCAAACAATTTCTTCCACTGCCAATGTCTCCTGCTCCTTCATGAACTCTGAGCACTGCTGAAAGTATTTTGCTATGGTTACCAAAGCAGAGGTACAGTCAGGACCTGKACCTGGACCTGTAAGGTACAGGCTTACCTCAGGGTCTGAGAGATGGGCAGAGGATATTTCTTTTCAGTTCCCAATTATATTTATAAAACATTGTTTATTATTTTCCCTCCCTAAAAGACTTATTTTTYCAGAGTGCAAGCTGCTGCTTCACTGCATTTTTACTAGCTCAGGTCCACTTTGTAAGTGCCATTGAAGCAGTTTATAAGCATGAGCAACAGCTGATGCTGCTGTTGAAACAGCAGACATGGTTATGGGCCTGCAAAGGAACCTTCCTCTCACCTCACTGCCCCATCACCCTGGACCTGGAGGTGCCAAGGGGGCAGCACAGAACACACAGCAGTATGGTAGAGCGGGGCAGCTCGAAAAGGGCCCAAACTGCCCTAAACTGGCCACAGAAAGTGGAGCTTTACTTAATAGCTGGCTTGGGGTTGCAGCTAAATCATGTATACTGAAAGCTTATGAAAAAATGCTGTTTCTTGCTGGACAAGTGAGTACACGCTGCAGCACAAGGCCGTGGTGTGAACAGATCACACACCACCACTTGCTTCTGGGTGATCATCACCTCCCCGCTGGCCGTATTGGCTCCAGGATCTGCAGGTGAAGCTGTTCAGCTAATTTCCTTCAACCAGAGCAGTCAAGGAGGGGAAAGGCTTTTTCTCTAAACTSGATGCTAGCTTTAAAGCTCAGCTGCATCTGGAAAGGACACACAACTTTGAGTTTTAGTTTTGTCCCCAGCAAAGGTAATGAAGCTCCTGCAGTATAACTCAGGGTATCCCATACAACAGTGTCAGGGAAGATTCACTGTACCAACACCATTAGTCTGCAGTAAAGCAGCCTAATGTGCAATTCTAAATTAGTACTACCATGCTAATCATTCCATTTGGATTGATATCATTTTAGTCCGATGAACATGCCTTTTGCATCCAGACAGGAGTAGGATTTTGAAATTTCTATACACTGGTGTAAATGTGTGCTTGGCTTTTAGGAGACTGAGAGGGCTGGCCAGCCCCGAGTTGCCCAGCAGATGTTATCAGCAAGTGCTCTCTGTAGATGGGATCTTTATTACAGTCAGGATGAGTCACTTTATTAGGAGCTCTTGCTTACTAGATAGCTACACAAGACATTACATCAGATCATTTGCAGCTCTGGCCATTACTTGAATCATTTTCCGTGCTTTGTTTTGAGAAACTGTCCAGAMAGGTACATCTAAAGCTTTTATTATAAATTACACATTAATATGAACAGGASATTCCTTTTGCTGATGTTTTTTCTAAGCCAGAAGGGATCTGTCTCAGTTCTCCCGTAACTTCAATACCAAACAGGGAAGTTTTATTTCTAATTGAACATGCACATCAGTTTTAGGAGAGATGACATGCAATGTTACAGACTACAAACTCTTATTAGTTCCTCTACAAATTAGTTTTAAAAATACAGACGTTAGGTGTTTTTCTGAAAGAATGCTACTAGTTAATATAGCTGCAGTATGTATGTTTCATTTAGTTTCAAGAAAAACAGAAGTTTCTAGCCCAGCCAAAGCATTAGGGAAGCAGGCACAGCTACCTGTCATTTTTATACTTCTTCAAAAACAGTGACTTTCTTCATTTTCCATAATAATTACAGCTTAGTTCCAGGATATATAAATGTTGCATTTTCTCAGTTGCAATTTTCATTTTTTAAACCAAATATTGAGATTAAAGTGTCTGAAAACCTATGCGCTTCATTAACAATTCTGTATTTACTTAAACTCCAACAGAAAGACTACAGAAATTGTGTATATGCCTATTCCTTTCAATTGTAAAAACTGCTTACGTCAATTTAACCATCACAATTATTTTYCTTCTCTAGCTGGAATAAGCCTCAAAGTTGCTATCTGCATTTTCAAAGATAATATGAATACAAGATAATTTCTGCTAGAAKAAGCTTACTCTAATCCAATTTTGTCAGAATGGGAAAAAAAATCTTCTGTAAACTATTGAATTCTGCTTCCATTATGAAATTCTTTTAGAAAATAAATTGAATTGGCTTGTCCTTACCTTGGTAGAAAGACACTTTCCACTACATAGAAGTCTTGCATAAGGACATCTCTGTCTGGTTTTGATGTAAGGTTTCCTACAGTATATCCAATTCCCAGCTGGATAGCACCTTTAATAGCTGAGGATGCAGTCTGCACAGAAAATAAGAATTTAAGCATCAGTTTGCTATAAACAGATTTCTCTTCATTATCAGCAACATTTTATAGGAAACGCTTAATCATTTCCATAAAAACAAATTCTAGGTTATCTTTTTGGACTTGGAGAACAGAAGAAACATTTAACAAAGATGACTGCTTTTCAGACAAATAATTTGAGGAAATAGTATAATATAGAAATATCTAAAAAATAAAGAAATCAACTTTCTTATTGTACAAACTGAGGCATTTTAAATTGCCCAAACAGTTCAGATATCAGATTCTAGCTTAGACACTTGGAATTTAACTGAAGCACATAAACTGAATCCATCTCTGAACTGGATTAAAATGGTAGGATCAGGTCAAAATGAGAAATTACTCATGAAATGAATTTGTAAGAAGAGATGGAATTGGAAAACAGACCATGGGAAAGGAGAAAGAATGCTAATAGTAGAAGGAGCACACTCCCCTAGCATTACTTTGAAGACACAATTTTGGTGTCTCTTTTCATATTTCACTTTTCACCTATCCAACAAACAATAGAGGAAATGAAATGAAGAGCATCCAAAGCTCCACAGCTAGAGTTACAGRAGCACTCGAACAAAAAATATTTCTTAAGTATTAACTAGGAATTATATAAGAGCAGGTTCAAGCATCCCCATCACTTATTTTAGTTCTCAGAACAGCATATGCTATAGTGACTGCTTATTTTTAGAAAAGACAGAGATATGTGACTCTTAAATAATTAAGACTGCACAACCAGCACCACTTGCATAACAGTTCAGAAGAGGTGATTTGGGGGGAACAAACAACACAGTCATTCTTAGAGTGCTACTTTGATTATTAAAAAGGTTTGGCTCGTATGGTAAAAAGATTCCAATTTTTCTTTTCTTGAAAGGCTTCTATTCATGAATGATTAATGCCCAACAAAAGCAGTAATTATGCAACTTCGATCAAACCAATACACAGACAAATAGAGCTTGTTCAAAGCTGGACACACACCTTGCTCGTTGCGAGAGAGGGTAAGGACTGAAAGAAACCAGCACATTTTTATAAATTATAGATTTATTTTTAAATTATAAATTTTTATAGATTTATAAATTATAAATACAGTATTTGCCTTTGATTACTGACAGAGGACAAGACAAGCAAGAAAATGGTAGGTGAACTGGTAAAGTGATTCCAAAAGAACAACTCTGCATCACTTTCCAGGCAGGTGATTTCAGTAGGTTTTCTACAAATCCAAAAGAGTATGTACAGCTTTTAGAGGGCAGGAGGCAAGACTTTCTAGTAGTATGGTAGGGATCTTACCTAGAAGATTTTGCTAATTTCCACTGCTATTCAGGAATATGCAAGCAAAACATCATTAGCAATCACTCAGAATTTCTGTAGCAATCACAGCATGGTTTTAACAAAAGCAATGTTACGAAACCGTTCAGGATATTGTACATCTTTTTTAAAACAAACTGACAGCAGGCCCAGCATGCTGCAGGCAATTGCTGACCCCAAGCCCATTGTTTGTGGATCCTATTCTGAGCTAACCTTCTCCTCAAAGGGTAGTTACCCAACACTCTTTTAGCAAGAGGCAAGTTTTTATTTTCACTGAGCTTAAGTGAGAACAAAACAAACCCTGGAATCTCTCAGTGCAAACACTTGTTTATTGTATTTTACTTTATTATTTTGTGATTGCAAACAGAATCCAAGGAGAAGACAAAACAGCTACCGCTCAAGCCTGAGGGAAATGATGTTCTTGATTCATTCATTTTACTACTACAAAAATATATTCCTTAGAATTCAGTGTCTCCAAATGTTAGTGGAAAAATTCCACTTCCCTCTACATTTTTTTCTTGTTCAGGCACCTCTCTTACTGCATGCCCAGGTTGAAAAGTCTACTTTCAAAGCTAAACCCATTACATCTTTCAATTCCACTTCAACACACTATTGCCGTAGAGCAAGCAATAAAGTTTAGCAACCTTTTGTGCCAAGATTTCTCCCTTTTAGGGACAGAAATCTTTTTTTTCTTTACATTAATCACACACAGAGGTTCAGAAAGAGCCCCTGGACCTATCTATCAAATCATAACCACACAGTGACTCTAGGACCATTTAACCCAGTATCAACACCTTCTGAAGCTCTAAGAAAAGAATGGATGAGAAAAAGCAACAGGATTAACAACATTAGTTCATGTGTTTTGTACTGAGGGTTTTTTAAAGCAAACTGCATTCTGAAAGCAGCAATATTTACTACAGAGAATGGCACAATAGCAGAAAGCTCTGTCCCCCTTTTCCTGATTAGGGTATTGCTATTTACTGCACAAAGGCACTGGTGGGTTTTGTACAGCTAATAAGGACAGAACCCCATAAAACTCTTGTCAGTCTGCTTTCAGATGAGGCTTCTTCTTTCAGTAGCTCAAGTATTGCAGGCCCAAAAGCATCAGCCCAGTACTACCACGCTGCTGGCTCTTCCAGCAACAGCATATACCTGCCACAGAGCTGACACACCTGGGAGTTTTCAGCAGGGTTAATTCCCCAATTCAGTCCATGAGGTTTGTACTAACTGACGGCAAAAACTGCATCCTCATAAAGTGAATATTYGTGAGTTTCTAGTTGTGCCTTTTCTGGCTGCAGGTAGGCAATAGCAATCTGAACTGGTGGAAAGCCCATCTACTCTAACCTCAAGGGTAGTTATTTTCAGAACATAACTTGATGGATGATGAATTCATGGGGGATCAGTGCTTTGTGTCACCCAGCCACATGCATTCTTGGTTTGACAGAAGGACCCCTGGATYTGCCCTCCAAGCCACAACCAGAATCAGCTTCTCCTGTCCCGGGRTTTCAACAGAAATTACTCCAGAAGGGGTAATTAAGACTGTCACTAACCTCCCAACCCATATTAAACTGCACCTTATGTAGATTCTGAGGAGAAAAGATAAAACTGTAACTATATTGGTAAGTATAACATAAATTACAGCTCCTGCAGGCACAAGCACTGAGGCACTCCCATATCCCATAATTCTGCTCAAACTTCCTCCATGTGTTTTCCCAGGGAGTCAATATTTCAAGGCAGGCTGGAACACTTCCACTTGCATGAGTGGCCCATTTAATGGGCACAGAGCAGCACTGGGGCAAGAGCTGCATCCCACTGAAATGTGGACTGGGAATAAAGTGTTCCAGCAAATCGTAAAAACAGTGACAACAGTAGGATATACTGTGATCCCTTTGTTATTTCCCCCTCAAGCTATAACATTCCTTCACTGCAATCCATTATTTTAAGTTCTTCTTTGGGCACTTGTAGCGTGCCCAAATATCTTATTCTAGTCCTAAGTCTGCCTGTTTCCTGTATCTTACTCCAGGCTGAAATCTTGTAACTAAGTGATGTGCAATCTATGTCACAGTAGCACAATAAATTGGAACCTAATACCCAATTTGAGAGGACTTAAATTTTCATATAATCCCATGAATGTAATAAGTAAGGTTTTAACATTTATAAATTAGTTCCATAATTCTTCTTTCACATGTTTCTATCAGAAAGGTGTTAAGCAGACACAAGGTATTGTGAAGGCAGTTTGAATTCAGCCAACAAATCCAATTGAGATAATGCTGCTTAACAACTGTGCAAGTTCATTATACGGTTATGAAAAGGAACTGGATCTTAGCAAAAGGACRGTCCTTAACGAAAGTGGAGAAAAACAGGGATGGCAAAATGTAGTTACTATAGTTACCAGAAAGCACATTATGTTGCCAAATAATTATTTCCATTAGAGTGTGAAGGTCACTGCCACTCGCTTGTAAACGGCTGGAAAACCTAACTAAGCACTGATTTGATGGTAACGGACTGGCTCTGGACACACAATACCCAATAAACCAAATAGGCTTRCTGTTTTAAACAAGCTTTCTTGCACGTTCCACATTTTTATGAGACTGATAGAAACAATTCCTTTTGAAACAAACCATAAACAAAGAGTAACAGTGTCAAATAGGCTTCTTTTATTTCTGTTCTATATGTCCTATACAATTTCCATTTACTCTCATTCACACAGTTATTTTCCCACTCCTACCTCTCAATTGCTTTTTGCTGAAGTTTTATGTATTGCTCAAAAGCAACTCCTGGAAAATTCAACCCTATGTTCCTGCCTCCTTTAAAGGTAGCCAACCTAGAGAGCACATAGCTGAAACTAGCTACATGACAGCATGGGTGCAAACTTTGCCCTTGTTTATCTGTCCTCCCTGTTTATCACTCATTTTATTGTAACTGGAACTTAGCGTGTAAACTTTCTAGGGCAAAGAGAGCAACTCTTCCAGCAAACACCTGGCTTATTGCAAGTGTTGTAAAGCAATGAAAAGAAAAAAAAAATCCTGGGCTCCGAAACTCCACTTCATTATCAGTCTATGAATTGCAGATAATATTTGCTTTCCRGCACCCTCTGAACTACTGTCATACAAACAAAGATCAGTAAACAGTCCAGGTTTGAAATCCACCTAATGAAGAGGCTGGGATGGCTTACTTATCCTAAGTGTGTGTAAGCAGTGGGGAGCAGAAAGGATCTGAGGAGGAACCATCCCTGATGAATGTCATCCTGCAGCCCATGCTCACTGCAAAGCGTCTGCAGATCCTTCACCTCTCTGCTGCTTAATCAAGGAACTGGCCATCTGCTTCACAGCTCTCCTATGCGACAAAAACTTGGTCAGATCCCACAGCTTGAACAAACTATGATTCTTTAACATTAACTGTATGAATGCACTGGCAGGAATAAGAGTGTAAGTGTGTTAAGTTAACCTGAAACCACAGGGATTAGTGTAAAGAGCTTCTGTTAACTCGTATTACCCAGCCTGAGGTTGGCAGTGTGGGAAGAATTCTTGAAGAAAAGTTTTCCTTGACTCATGATTTTAAATTTAGATGCATAGTACAGACCTCAATTTTCAATTCACGTGATCTTCAGGTCACTGGCAATGACAATTTAGAAGCGGACCTGTGCAAATAACTTGTATATAGCAGCC